ATAAGCACTTTTGTGCAAAAAGTGACAATGTTAAAAAGTTGAGTCAAAAGGTAATTTTTTTTTGTTAGGCACGGTGAAATAGCCGAAAACAAACAATATTGCATTGAAAGTTTGAAGTTTATCGGAAAGGTACTCGAAATATGGCGAAAAGTCAAAAATGTGCACTAAGTGCTCAACTCGGCGAGATAAGCACTTTTGCGCAAAAAGTCACAATGGTAAAAAATTGAGTCAAAATGTAATTTTTTTGTTAGGCACTGTGAGATAGCCTGAAAGGAACACTATTCCATTGAAAGTTTGAAGTTTTCCGGAAAAGTACTCGAAATATTGCAAAAAGTCAAAAATTTTCATTAAGTGCTCAACTCGGCGAGATAAGCAATTTTGTGCAAAAAGTGACAATGTTAAAAAGTTGAGTCAAAAGGTAATTTTTTTTTGTTAGGGAAGGTGAGATAGCCTCATACACACACTATTCTATTGAAAATTTGAAGTTTTTCGGATAAGTACTCTAAATATAACGAAAAGTCAAAAATTTGCACTAGGTGCTCAACTCGGCGAGATAAGCACTTTTGTGCAAAAAGTGACACTGTTAAAAAGTTGAGTCAAAATGTAATTTTTTTTTTGTTAGGGACGTATCGATAGCCTGAAACAAACACTCTTCCATTGAAAGTTTGAAGTTTTTCTTAAAAGTACTCGAAATATGTGAAAATTCAAAAATTTGCAGTAAGTGCTCAACTCGGCGAGATAAGCACTTTTGTGCAAAAAGTAACAATATTTAAAAGTTGAGTCAAAATGTATTTTTTTTGTAAGGCACGGTGAAATAGCCAGAAACAAACACTATTCCATTGAAAGTTTGAAGTTTTTCCTAACTGTACTCGAAATATAGCGAAAAGTAAAAAATGTGCACTAAGTGCTCAACTCGGCGAGATAAGCACTTTTGTGCAAAAAGTGACAGTGTTAAAAAGTTGAGTTAGGATGTAATTTTTTTTTTGTTAGGCACGGTGAGATAGCCTGAAATAAACACTATTCCATTGAAATTTTGAATTTTTTCGAAACAGTACTCGAAATATGGAAAAAAAAGTCAAAAATTTGCATTAAGTGCTCAACTCGGCGAGATAAGCACTTTTATCCAAAAAGTGACAATGTTAAAAAGTTGAGTCAAAATGTAATTTTTTTGTTAGGGGCGGTGAGATAGCCGAAAACAAACACTATTGCATTGAAAGTTTGAAGTTTATCGGAAAAGTACTCGAAATATGGCGGAAAGTCAAAAATTTGCACTAAGTGCTCACCTCGGCGAGATAAGCACTTTTGTGCAAAAAGTGACAGTGTTAAAATGTTGAGTTAGGATGTAATTTTTTTTATTAGGCAAGGTGAGATAGCCTCATACACACACTACTCCATTGCAAATTTGAAGTTTTTCGTTACAGTACTCGAAATATGGCGAAAATTCAAAATTTGTACTAAGTGCTCAACTCGGCGAGATAAGCACTTTTGCGCAAAAAGTGACAATGGTTAAAAGTTGAGTCAAAATGTAATTTTTTTTTTGTTAGGCAATGTGAGATAGCCTGAAACAAACTCTATTCCATTGAAAGTTTGAAGTTTTTAGGAAAAGTACTCGAAATATGGCGGAAAGTCAAAAAATTTGCACTGAGTATTTAACTCGGCGAGATAAGCACTTTTGTGCAAAAAGTGATAGTGTTAAAAAGTTGAGTTAGGATGTAATTTTTTTTTGTTAGGGACGGTGAGATAGCCGGAAAAAAACACTATTCCATGGAAAATTTGAAGTTTTTCGGAACAGTACTCCAAATATAGCGAAAAGTCAAAAATTTGCACTATGTGCTCAATTCGACGAGATAAGCACTTTTGTGCAAAAAGTGACAGTGTTAAAAAGTTGAGTCAAAATATAATTTTTTTGTTAGGCACGGTGAGATAGCCTGAAACAAACACTATTCCATTGAAAGTTTGAAGTTTTCCGGAAAAGTACTCGAAATATGGCAAAAAGTCAAAAATCTGCATTAAGTGCTCAACTCGGCGAGATAAGCACTTTTGTGCAAAAAGTGACAGTGTTAAAAAGTTGAGTTAGGATGTATTTTTTTTTTTGTTAGGCAAGGTGAGATAGCCTCATACACACACTATTCCATGGAAAATTTGACGTTTTTCGGAACAGTACACTATTCCATTGAAAGTTTGAAGTTTTTCTTAAAAGTACTCGAGATATGTTAAAATTCAAAAATGTGTAGTAAGTGAGATAAGCACTTTTGTGGAAAAAGTTACAATGTTAAAAAGTTAAGTCAAAATGTAATTTTTTTTGTTAGGCAATGTGAGATAGCCTCAAACACACACTATTCCATAGAAAGTT